CAGTCTCAGTTCGCGATTCTAAAAAATGTCTTGGCAGTCAATCAGGTCAGTTCACTACCTCCAGACTGACAGTTTGAACCGCAAAGATGAACTGACAACTGACTGATTGACTGATAGCAACTCTGCTATTACGCTGCGTCAAGTGAGGTTCCTCACCCTCAGACCGTTATAACTCTGTTTCTCTTGTAAAGCCCCCAGTCGTGTTACCACCGGCGGCTGCCGTATGGTGATGTTTCTAGTGAACATGCTAAGATCCGGTCGTTGTTCCTCGCTGGGTGGCGGAGGCCTAAGTGGCCGTTTAGCAGATCGTGTCGGCACCGGTATGTCAGGCAGGAGTATATTGTCGTTCAATGAGTGCCTGGATACTGCAGGGGAGTTTGGTTGCGACATACTCGCTTGTATGGACAGGAGAGGCTCTCTTATGATCGGCGGTGGAAAAGAATTGTAAGACTCGTATGGTGTGCCACCGATGGTAATGCTGCCAGACCAGTGTTTTGAGTGTCTGAATTTGTGTTTGGATGCCTGCGATCGAGATGCTTCAAAGCGAGCATAAGGCTTGAGGCAGAGGCTACAGACGATCAGGACAGCGAGTGTGGTTTGGCTTTGTGTAGCAACGGCGTAAGGTATCGAGTCAAAAGCAGGGTCCCCGTTGCGACCATAAGCTTGCTGGAGGTAGACTAGACGAATGACGGACGCTGCTACCAAGCTTCGAGAAGTCATCAGAAACGGTAGCCACATAGATGGGAGCAGGCTCCCCACTTACATGAAACGCATCGACAAGAGTAGTGTGGCTAAAGTCTTCTGACGACAAGACTCACGAAGAGTCCATACGCGATGCGTGCAGAGCGCGATGATAGCTGTTTCTAGGACAACGTCAAAAATCGTTGCAATCATCCAGAATGGTACCTATGTTGCAGTCAGGTACGGTCCTAGTTGCTACGTGACAATCTGACCTACCAATGGGATACATTTGCCCGTCCATACCATCCATGGCGTAGGTAATTCGCATTGGAAGACCGTACCGCCTAGAACTGCGATAGTCCATACCAGTACCAGTACACTGACAGCTAAGACGCTCGCCCTCCGAAAGGTATTGTCTGCTAGATGATACAGAAAAAGTAGGACTGAGCTTTTCGCTAAGCTAATTGTCAGAACGAAGCATATCGTCGTGACGAAAAGCTTGAGTTGGATTTGCTCCAAGTCTCCGTCATCCAGAAGACAATTCTTCTTTCCTAAACCCGAATCGAGGGCTGTAGATATTATTACGGTGCTTCCAAGAGCAAAGACCGATGCGGCGATAATGATGATATCATCTGTCGAAGTAAGATGGCGAAGGTGTTCAGACCTGTATCGAGCGATAACTCTTGCTATGGTACATATCGCCTATAATGATGATTCAGTATTAGAGTGGATAAGAGAAGGTGTCTTGTACCAATAGGCAAGCAAGGAACCAAGCGACCATTACCAGAATAGTGCCATGGTTCTGAGCAGAAATGAGCGCGTTCTCCTGCTGGGCTTGTTGGTTGCACATATTGACTTGTGCCGTTCGGAGATTGCATTGAAATGAGCTTTGGTCAATCTTTATCGAAATAGCATGCTGACGGCTACAAGAGAATAGATGAGGCCAGATATCGTCGAACTTCGGACAAGTGTTGCATACACGGTCTGTAAGGCTCCCTTAAAGTCCGAGTCACCAGGGCTACGCGTCTTTGCATGTTCATGCGAATGATTGCCTTTTGTCGCGGCAACGAGGGTGAGAAGTGCATGTAGTTTCGTCTAGAAGACTGGAAATAGAAGCGGAAGGGAGTTAGATTGCGGGCAGCAGCGAATGGTAGGAGACGATGACTGGAACGGGAGGGACATGTTGCAGATCGGTCGCACGCGTGCCTGCATCTAGGCTAGACAGTTGCCGTCGAGCTGAGCCCAGGTCCGTAGTGTTGGGATGAAGGATGCCGCCACAGTGATACGAGGATGTTGTACATGCCGGCGGGCTATCTTTCCGTGTATAGTGGTAGCTGAAGTTGAATGACAGCGTTTCAGCACGGGTTTGATGTGGTGAAAAAGCAATATCCGGCCTAATACCTTGACATGCCTGTGGAAAACATATCTATGACATGATGGATCTGATTGAACCATGTGAGAAACGAAACATCGGGATGCGGTCGCACGATGCAACATGGACGATAACGGGTGTACTGTTGATGCAATCGGTAGCCACCAGATTGGTGATGGGGAACGGGCCGCAGCTAGCAAAGTCCGATATGCTCCAATCTTGTCAGGGCGGCTGCGATGTAATTGGCGAAGCCGAGTGATGAGGCATGATCAGATGATACAATTGTGGCAGAGGTCCTCGCTTGGCACGGAGTTGAGTACCCTGTTCGCAAAGGCTCGCATGGCAGCTCCCACGGACTTGATGCTGTGGGCTGGATTCAACGCGTTGCTTTGAGACCCCAGGTTGACATGGAACCATCAGTAGCAACTGTTGGAAGTGAGGCATGTGGCTCGATTCGCGTGAGTGTCTCCTAGGTACCCATGAAATGGGGCTGACGTCGGAACCTTGCACCACTACCGGTATCGATAAGAACTTTTCCCCAGCCAAGAATTCAAGTCCAATGCGACTGTGCTCTCTCAACTTTGCTCTGTCGCAACACCGTCATGGTAAGTTTTTTTAGGTTATACCCGTATAGTAAAGTAATACTCACACAACTCTCGAGGCACCCATAAAGAAGCGCACAACCGCGCGCGCAAAGTCGGCTCGCGCAGCCCGTCCCTCAACTGCGGCTCTTCCAAAGCCTGATGGCATCTCCTCGCTCCCCTCTTCCAAGCGTGATAAGCAGAAGATCAAGCACTCTTCCTTCGTCTCCAAGATAGAAAAATCATCTGCCAAGACTCAAAAGCGAAGGCGACCCAACAACAAGCTGGTCGCAAACCTCGAGTCGCTCGCCGACGCGCTCCCAGATGCTGCAACAGCCGGCGAGCTCGAAACGAGTCAGGCGCGCATACTTCAGCCCAAGGTCAAGCTGGAGAGCATGAAAAGGACAAAGGGCGCGAAGAAGAGGAAGGAAAAGCTGGACAAACTAGAGAAGGAGAGATTCAACGCGAACCTGGCACAGCTAGTGCGTGGCACTGGCAACGCGACATCGGGCGCTGATGCAGTACAAGATCGCTGGGCAGCACTCAAGAGCCATGTGCAGAGTAACATGGAGACCAAGCCCGAGTTCGCGCAACAACCAAGTCAGACCGTATAACATCAGCCCTCCAGGTCAATGCTGGAACACGGTCAACATCGTTCTGAGTGCCCAAATCACCTGGTTTCCGATGAATATCCTTGGGGCGAAAGGACTGCAGACAGCGTTGTGCTGTGTAATGCATCGCGGAAACCTTCCGAAGGATTACTACCGCTTAATCATCGACGACTATACCCACCGCTTGTTCTCTGCAAGACTTGTGAGTAACATTTGATATCAGCAACTACGAATTCATGTCAAGGCCGATAGCCCAATATCTGCCTCTTTCTTCCGCTCGATTTCGTCCCCATCATGAACCTTGCCGCAGTCCTCCCCTCCCCCAAAGCCTCCCTCTCTGTCCAGTCACTCCCCATTCCCGCGCCAGCGTCAAAAGAACTCCTCATCAAAGTCTCCACAATAGGCCTCAATGCCATAGAAGCCAAGATCGCAAAGCTAGCCGCCATCCCCGTCGCTTATCCTGCTATCTTGGGCTCCTCTTACACTGGCACGGTTGAAGCGCTTGGTTCTGCAATCACGAATTACTGCATCGGTGCACGCGTGTTGGTGAGCAAACGATTTGGTACAACAGGAAATCAATATAGTGCCTACCAGAGCTATGTCCTTGCCGCAGCTGAGGAGAAGATGGTTATTCGGATCCCTGAAGGAAGTGATGAGGCGGTTCTAGCCAGTCTAGTTATGAATGCGAGTTGTGTTCCTGGACTGTTCTCTGGGCAGCTCGGGCTGCGGAGACCTGCTAAAGAGATCCCAGCTGTAGGAACAGAAGAGAAAAAGAAGATTCTGATATATGGAGGCAGCTCGAGCTTTGGCCAGCTCTCTGTGCGATATCTTTGCCGCGCTGGGTATGCGGTTACTACGACTGCTTCACCACGGCATGTGAACCGTGTGTGTGAACTAGGCGTGGATGATGCAGTGGATCATACACTACCTTCTCAACAAGTTATTCAGGAGCTGAAGGCGAGAGGGCCGTACGAAGTTGTTGTCGATATGATATCCACTCCACAAACCATTCTCATCACAAGCCAGGTTTTGAAAGCGCAGGGTGGTGGTATACTTTACGCTACGCAGCCATCTTTCGCGCCTGAGGACCTACCAGATGGTGTACAAAGGGTGTTTAAAGCATGGTCAGAACCGCTGTATGAGCAAGAGAACGAGCGTCTACTTGAGTGGGTTATCGAGGAGTATCTCCCCTTTGGGATACAGAAGGGATGGATTGTTGCACAGCCTGTTGACAGAGTGCAAGCTGGGCTGGCAGGTATTGATGGGGCGTTGGAAAACTTATTATCGAATGCTGAAGGCAGTGGGAAGAGATTCGTTGTGAATGTGTAGGTTTGGTGCTGTCGTCTTGTCCAAAGGCCACAGTTCGTCCCGTGGCTTTGTTCGACTCATATGTTTCTATCGGCCTCTCGCATCTTCAGATGATTACCTACAAAGAACTCAGGAGGCATGTACGCTACGCATCATCGATGTTATCATGAATACCGGCATGTCCCGACACTGTGACTGCCATGCAAAGTCCTTGTGCATGTGCCAAGTATGAGTCCAAGACGGAGGAAATTCCGATGGCGCACACTAAGCCGGCCGCCCGAGCAGCGGGGATTAAGAGTACCATATTCGAGAGGACGACGGCGCACTCACGAAGAGCTTAGCTAGACGCCCCTGAGCCAAATTCATACAATCTTGCATGTGCAAGGTATGGCCAACAACAGTTCTTGTATCAAGAATCAAGATGTGACTCAAATTGGTGTATAATACCTGATATATGTTACTCTAACAACAGCACGCCACTTGTACACGCCCAAACACAGCAATGAAAGTCTACCTCAAACCACTGGTAGCCAAGGGGTATCGAATATAAAAAGCGAAAGAAAGCGAGTCATTCGCATTGCTTCGCCGCAACTACCCTTTTCTCAGTAAATTTATCAAGACAAAAGTACCATTTCGGCATACTCTCAAACAACGGTAAAAGTGCGCTGGGGGTAATTGTCCAACTGCGTCATGTCCTGGATCTCAGGGAACCAATGCTCAAACAACGCTTCGGCGTCTTCGCTCATCTCTTGTTCGATGCCTTCAGGTGTACATTCGTAGCATTCTAGGCGACCGACGCGGCGATATGTATTGTTTCCGGATGATGGTTTGAGGACGATGCCGACGATAGAGGAACGAAACGTCATGCTGACGAGTACGCAAACGAGGGTTTCGCCGTCTTGCAACGCGTCTTCGGCTGGGAGTGGTACGACGTCTGGTGTAAAGTCCACGGTCATGCCGTTTTTGGCTAGGATGTACGAAGGCTGTTGTTCCGGTGATGCCGTGGTGTGTACGACAACCTCGGCAGCCATGGCTCCTGAGAGCTCGAGAGGCTCACCCATGATAGGTGACCAAGCACTTGCCCGCTTCCCTTTTGGACCAAAAGAAGCTCTACACGCGAGATCCATCGCGCTCGTGTTGTCGAAGAAGATTGGTGAGCCTTCGACTGAGGCCCATGACCAGCTTGGTACATTCTGGCCTTGTGCGAGTTTCGGACGGCGGCATCGTGAACTGTCGTTGGGGTACCAGAGAAGCCCAAGAGTGCTAAACGTCCATTGGCCCGCTATGTAGCCTGACTGTAGAGTTGGCGAAAGGGCTCTTGCGATACTTGCTATTGCTATCAGGCGGTCATTGTCGTACGTGAGGTGCCGCGCAGTGTATTCAGTTATGATGTATGACCACAGTTGGAGTGTCTCTTCACGTCTGCGTAACAACTCCTGCTGAGCGCCGTTTGTGAGATGTGTGGAGGCCAGTTGGTTCGTCATGCTATCCGTGCGCGTGCGAGCCGTGTTGCCATTGCTGTTGGCTTGTTGTGGTTTGTTGAGTGTTTCGGCTATGACTCTACCAAATTCTTGCTTGACCTGGTCGTTTGGCCGTGAGTCGTAGGTACTGTCATCGATGCGCCCGCATTCACATTGATATCCTTCTCGACATTCCAATATCATCTCGCTTTTGGTAAAGTGTAGCACCCTTGGCGAAAGTAAGCGTTCGGCGTATGGCCATGCGCGGATCAAGAGCGGTGTGTGTAGGTTCGCCTCTTCGGACATATTGAAAGGCAACTCCCACTCGTTCATATGTGCATTCCCGTCAAAAGGTGCTTTGAAACTGTAGTGGCTCGGTTGTTCCCTCACGTTTATCTTGTGCAAAGAGCCTTTATTATCTGTTGCTTGTATTTTGAATGGCTGTGTCTTGGGCGGAAAGAGGGGTTGGGTACTACTGTCGGATGCGGACGTTGCCGCTATTGTTAGGAAAGCGTTGCCGAAGATCTCGTCCATCTTGAGCGAGTCCTCAAGCTTCTCCTGAACGTCATCTTGTATTAGACAGAGACTATCGATGAATAGCCAACGGAAACCAAGTGCTCGCGTGAGGAAGACGGCCTCTTGGTACGCTCTTGGCAGTGTCGACCAAGGTATGCTCTTCTTGTGCGACTGCAGTGTTGCCAGAGTTGTCTTCGGAATTCCTTTGGCTAATCCCCAAACATGACTCAAGGCAATGTACTCGCCATGTTCGTATCTTCTCTCATCCTGTATGTATTCACTCTCGTGTAATCGCATGCTCTTGGAGTCGTCGCCCGATAATAAGTCCAGCACACGCTTCGGTAGCGTCGTGGGTTTACCTCGGCGACTGCACGTAGCATGATTTTCTAGGCAAGTCTTTATCAAGCCTCGCGCTGTTGCTAGACCAGTACTCTGCAGTGGGTTATCTGTCATATGCCTTCCTCGCCCAATGGCAGAGAAAGGAGACTGGCCGTCTGCAGTATTGTCAGTCCACGCGTTCCTGCAGAGGAAGCGAGCTAGCAGTAGGCGACCGTTCCACCACCGCGACCATGATTAAAATCAACCAAAATACATGGAAAGAGACTTGGCGCATACCTCCATCTGTGAAGAACTCAAGCTTGAGATCTGGGTGGCCTGTTGGGTGTTCATGGTCGTCTTCGTGGGAGTCGTCCTGGTCGTCGTTGTCCTTCCAGCGAAGCTCAACTGAGAGATGTTCTTGGGGTGTTTTCCCTGTTTTTGGCTTGAAAGACTCGGCCGTGATCCTGACATTGTCCTCATTTATGTTTGCGAAGCGGTCGTGGTGTAGTAGGACGCCATTGAGAAGGAGAGCGCAGGCGCGACAGGCAGTCGATCTCGACCTCAGTTTTGGCAGCGTTGTGTCGACCCAAACAAGCGATTCTGATCCATTCTCTTGCGCGCTTTCCCCATGAAGGTGTTTCTGGAGACCTTTACATGTCGCGCAAACAGATACCATGGCGTCGTGGAGTGGAATAAATTTGGTGATGGATATGACGGAGGTGCGGGGTGTAAGAAGTCGCGTTCCCGTTGGTTCCGCGGGGCGGAAGGGCAATGGTAGGGGATGATGGACACAGTGTACGTCAGTCGGAAACCCCTTGAACAAACTATACTAGTCGAATTACAAGACACCGAAGCCAGTACTGTATTAGCAGCTGACATTCGCGTACAGCTTCCAGACCATTCGACGGCCTAAGGTGGAAGGTCAGCTCTGAACCAGCCCAAAAAGTGGAGGTGCCGCTAATGATCTGAACCTCTCCCGCTCTTGTGGAGACGCGCCCAGCTTCCCAAGCACAAGCATCTATCGTTGCACAGCACCGAGGCTGCAGCTATCATTTGCAGGGAGGCAGGCAGATAAGTATTCTGCGACATACCCCCGTCTTCAAATTGCCCCTCGCTTCGGGGGGCTCATTACACACATCACTCGACACCACGTATGCTACCGTCGTCTAGACTGGTTCGCGCTGACGTTCGTCTTGCGCCCCTCAACCTTGCTGCCTGGGTAGGGAGCGGATCGCAACAGCATGCCCTGGTGCCGCACATTCGGAGCAGCTCCCGTCAATACGACCCCCGCGCCCGCATATCCGGGTCAACCTAAGCTGTTCAGCTATCCGCAAACTCGATGCTTTTTTTCAAGCTGCTAGCCCTACTAGGAGAATCCATCATGAAACACAAGCTGATGATCACTCAATCCAAAGCTATATCTGATCAAAGTGGCGTCTAAATCCTCACCTGATGCGAGCCATAGCTGTTCCCTCACACTTGCGCTCGACAGGATCGGCGGAGAGCCGTGTTGCTACACATCGAGGAGCCAATCGTCTGTACGGAAAATTTATCACTTGCATTCGTATCTCCAGATCCGGCGCTCTTTTTTCCCACACGTGCACTCTCTACACCGGTCTACCATCAGCATGTCAGACTCGTCAATCGGTCTCCAGGATCCGAGCGCATTGCATGATTACCGATCGGCCGCGAGAAGGGCACAGGCTTACATCTGCTCAAGAGGCTGGTAGAACCACACCCACGTAAGTGCTCATGCACTAGCAATTCGAGCCCTGATTGAGCTTGTCCACTCACAATACCCTGTTGCGTGTCATCATACAGGTTTCGAAAGGGTGGTCAGGGTACAGGGTCTGGCGCATTATCTCCCCTGTGTTGGGTCTGCCAGTGCATCCATGGATTGCTGCCGCTGCCTGCAATGTAAAGTCCCGTCTTCCTGCCTCGTCACTCGTACTGCGGTGTGAGGATCCGAGCCAACAGTATGCATTGATAGAAATCTTGATGTTGCGAACTAGCCCCAAGGTTTCGACCATTACCATATGCTCAAGCCGAAGCCGAAAGCGCGAAGAGGCTCTGACGTCTCCTTGGGGCTGAGTATTATGTACTCATGTGCCATATTGTAGCGTCGTATAGCGTGCCAACCACATCCTTCGTATCATACATGTCATCGTCAGTCACTCCGCCTTCTAAACCTAGAGATGACTGTTCAGGAGATGCAGCGCTCATAGATCGGTGAAACACAGATCCTTTTCCATTGATTACTTGGCACCAGTAAGCTGCATATGTCTCTCCCCGTGACTGTGGGACGGCGCATCGTGTTTGAGTGAAGGACTCAGCGCACGTGCATCTACTGTCTAGATTGAGCCTAGTCATGGCCCCACGGGCGGTAGCGACGACTTGACCCCACATCGAACCGCCACACGTATCCCAAAGAGTCACGACGTGGGCATATCTTCCGGCAACACCAACATGACTTCGGTAATCAGCTCTTTGCGCAAGCAAATTGCGTCATGCGAAGTCACACTACAGGATCTACGTCAACAGCTGGCGGAAGCTGAGCACAACCAACGCGAAACAGCTAAAGTTGTGCCCCAGAAAAGACCGCTAGCTACTGACCCTACCAACCCCCTGGATCATGACATGAACTTTGGAGTACCTGATCAATTCCGTGAAGAGGTTTTCGCAATTCTAGATCAAGAGCAAAAGGCGCCGCAACATAGCGTGTCTGAG